TGCTAACCAGCTGGCTGCTCGGACATCTGCTAGAGAAGTTGCAGGATTAATCAATGCAGGTATTATAATTTATGCCATTCCTTATAGAGCTTCTGCATGTGCAACTGTGTGTGTGTGAGCTAGTGCTTTTATGTGTGTGTAGAGGGGATAAAGACAAGCCAAGAGGATAGGCATTTGAGGATCCCATTAGCAAATAAAAAAGGGGGGTGTCAAAAAAATAGAGGCAGATTTATGTCCACTCCGGTGGAGGAGAGGAAGTGCATTATAGGGAGCACTCTATAAATCCTCCAACGAGGCTGTGACACAGTGTGCGGCACAAATCCTGTCCAGCTTGCCACGGCCACGGCGAGGCGAGCCTCAGTGACACGGAGGAACTTCACAGATTTCTTTTTTTCCCTTTTCCACGAACACTTTCTTTCTTTTCCTATTTTTTTTTTCTTTTCGCAGAGCTCTATGCCATTTGTGAAGTAGGAGAGCTTAAGCGGCTGCAGTGACGGAAGAATGCCAGGCCGCTGATCCCGGCACAGTTCCACAAGCATTAGAGACAAAAGACAGAGTCGGAGTGGATAAGTTTAAGGAGAAGGTCGAGAGGCTTTCTGTGATCCCATGAGTGCCGCGGCTAGATTCGCAGGGAGTCTTGTGACTACGGAATAACACAGTTCCTTACAGCATATTGAACTTTGCTCATTAGCGAACAGATGCTGTTTTTATTGCTAATGAGAAATCAAGCCTTTGTTCTCTGCCTCAGTGCTAAGGATGGCATGAATATGGGGTAGTGTCGATTGGCTATTTGTTGCTTCCTTTCAAACTTTCATATAAAGCCACAAATGAAAGGAAACTTGGTCTCTGTTATCAGATCTTGGTGTATTCTGCTTGTCCGAGGTATTCCACAGTGGCCTTTACACTTATATTCGCCTACATCTTCACGCTATATACAGTGTCTTTTTGTTCAGCCTCTTCTGCTTTTGCTCCGTTGTTTTTTGAGACGGGGAACAGAAGGTGGGAGGGGCTTTTTGGGAGTCATGGTCTATGTGAGTATGTAGTTCAGTGGCTGACTGAACTGGGTAAAACATACAGTGAGTAGGTGTCTCAACTCTCTCTCTTCTTTCCTTCCTTCTTTCCTTTTGGTTGTTTTGAGTGGTCACAGCTGACCATACTTGGCAGCAAATAGGCAGCCAGGGCCTATTGATTTGCCCTACAGACAGACAGAGAGTGAGACACACACACACACACACACGCAGAGGAAGGCACACAGAGAGGATTTGATCAGAGACGAGGCTAGAGTAGATTTTGCAGAATTAAGTTAGATGCTGCAGTGTCTTTTTTGAGATGCATTTGGAAGGAGCAAAGAAATCAACTATAAAGGGAAAGAAAAAGAAAGGATGGATGGATTCAAGAAGCAGAAAGAGGAATGCAGAAATGAATTATTGCCGTATTTAGAATTTTTTTCCTATGGACCTTCACGAAAGTTGTGCAAACACTTCTTTGAAGCTTTTCACCATTTCATGTGATCTTCATCAGCAGATGGCCTGTTATGATGCATTACACACTACTTGGAATGCATTGGTTTACCTTTTCTCTTAGAAGATAAAGTAATCTGTTCCAGTACTCATTACCAAGTGAAAATATAAGAAAAAAATAAAAGAAATTTAACTACAAAGTGACATATTCCACTATATTCTTGTCCTTTCATCCAAAGATCTGCATACCTCTACTCTTTAAAAGCTCCACCCATGTCTTCTTCATGACCTCACCTCAGGCTAGTGTTAAGTAAAAACATTTCTCCCATCTTCCACTTTGATAAACTGTTGATGTGTTTGCTGCATTTAGTCACACTGATGTGTTGCATTACTTTGTATTACTTTGTTAAACAAAAATTAAAGGTAATTCTTTTTTTTTTGTCAACACTGATTTTGGAGAGTGATGGTGTGCTGATTAGCACTTTTGCCTCAGAGCAAGAGGTTTCTAGGTTTGACTCCACCTGCTGGCCGTAGCCTTTGCAAGTGGCACTTGCATGTTCTCTGCATGCTTATGTGGGTTTAATCTGGGTACTGTGGATTCCTCCCACAGTCCAAAGACATGCATTAGTTAGATTAACTGACAATTCTAAATTGTCTGTAGCTATAAGTGAGCTTGAAAAGTTGCCTGTCTCTGTATATTTCCCCTGTGATAGGCTGGTGACCTGTCCTGGGTGCTCCCCACCTTTCACCCTGTGACTCCTGCACGTGCCCTGCTAGGCACTTTAGGGACTTTTTA